CAGAAATTCTTGGAAAAAATAGAATTAAAGTATGGATTTCTTTTGGTGTAAAATATTTTGAAATCCATCCATAATTTTTCTGTAACATGTATTTTTAAAAGAATTATTTATTTAATTCTATTAATTATTATTATTTAATTGACCAGAGAGAGAAAGGGAAAACGAGAAAGCAAGCCGCCAGGTTTGGGACTAGAACCATAGTTAGCCATATGAGAATCCAGTGCCTTTAACCACCATGCCACCTACCAGCCCCTATAACATGTATTTTTCATGAACCTTTTGAAGATTACTTTTATAATGGTAGTCTAAACTAAGGTGATGGTGGAAATGAAGAAAACTGAACAAATTCAACAGGAACTTAAATTGCTGGATCTGGAGGACAGATTGAATTTATGAGTAAGAGAAATATCAAAGATAACTTACATTGTGGGCTTGCATACCCAAATCAACATATTTATTTTCTTGGAGATAATGGGAAGGGATTGATCAATTGTGGGCATGTAATTTGAGGTACCTTTTAAATAGCTAGAAGAAATATCAAGTAGGCAGCTGAGTAATAGGCTTTGAATTCAGAGGCGATATCTACACTATAGATATGACTCATACATTTCTAAACAGATGAAATGGCCTTGAGAAAGTTCAGAATATGAGGAGGGACCTAGGAATGAGCCTTAAGGAACTCAAAACATTTCATAGCTTTGTATAATGGGCCGAATTGTGTCCCTCAAAATTTATGTAGTGACGTCCAAAGCCCCAATATCCCAGGATGTGACCATATTTGAAGACAGGGACTTTAAAGAGGTGACTAAGGTTACATGAGTTCATTAAGGCAGGTCCTAACCCAACCTCAGTGGTATCCTTGCAAGAGAAGGAAAGCAGGTGTACAGAGGGACACCAGGGCATGAACACTGTGCCATATGAGAAAGGACCATAGAGAAAGGTAGTAAGAGGGTGGCCACCTATACACCAAGGAGAGAGGCCATAGAAGGAACCAAATCTGCTTATACCTCTAGCCTAGAGAGCTGTGAGGAAATAAATGTCAGTTGCTTAAGCCACTCAGTCTGTGGTGGTCTTACAGCAGTCCCAGCACTACTATACTGGGAAAAAGCAGATGGTGGGGTAAAACAGGAGGTAAAGGTAACATAAGGTAAGCCCTTGGAGATTATTTTGTCATACAAGAGTATCATAGCACAGAAGCCATGGCCAGAGTGTTTCAGCAAGTGAGCAGTCAATAATGCTGAACTCTGCTGAAAGGCAAGAACTGAAAATCGTCCTCTGGCTTTGGTGACATGGAAGTCACTGGTGTCCTCACTGTCCAGTGACAGCGTAGACATTCAAAAGTATGTACATTAAGGAGTAGGGATAAGGAAATGAAAATGGTGATTATGGACAATTCTTTTGAGGTTTGACATTGACAGGGATGGGAGTGAGGAATGAGAGACTTGACTCAATGTAGAACTTCAGAGGACAGAAGTCCACTCACTTTCTTGCTAGTGAAGGTCCTTAGTTTTTTTGTTAGGTTTGGTTTGGATTTGCTATAGGGAGTGTGCACTTGCCAGAGAGATAGAAAGATATATATAGAGGGAAAGTGAGAAAGCACCTCCTGTAGGGGACAGCCACGTTGCAATCCCTTCTCCATTTTCCTCTCTGGATTTTGGGCACATATACATACATACCTGGTGTATTTCTCAAGCCATTGGGTCCAAGACTTGAACTGTGTGTGTAGTTGGCCATGTGGGATCCAGTGCATACCACCCCACCACCCGCTGACCTAGGTCCTTGGTTTTAAGCCATCTTTGCTTCCAAAATGAAACTTCAGTTCAATTTTGCCTTAAAACTAGTGTCATTTGGGACCAGCAGTTAGTGTAATGGCTATGTTGCTGAACTTCCATATAGTCAACCGTGATTCAAGTCCCAGACAAGGTGGCTTAAACTCATGCTGAGAATGTGTGTGTGTGTGTGTGTGTGTGTGTGTGTG